TAGTTTTTACTGCACGAGGTTCTATGTGGTGTGAATTCTGCCTCGAAGCTACGCTTCTCACTCTAATTCAGATTTCTGAAACTATCGATTGGCGATGCTTTTTGGAATGTTCCATAACTAAAGCTAATCTTGTCTTTCTTTCTCGGGAACAACCCTTCTTCTTTGACGTTCCAGAGTTCAATTACAGACAGATGCATGCATTTAGAAACTCCTCCCGTGGGATTACCACACTCGTGATGAAGTCTCGTGGTTGCACGTCTGATCGCTTCCGTTTTTCATCCCCAGATAGCAAGCAATCCAAGGGTAAAGAGAATGAACGGTTGAAAATAATAGCAGTAACATTGGTCCACAGAAAAAAATTATTAACTCTGCGATCTTCAGGAAAGTAGTACCAGAAAAAATTATCGTTGCTGTAAATGCAAGAGCTTCAAGCGGACATCCTATTATTGGTCATCCATTTGGGTCCAAGCAAACAAGGGGGTGAAATGGAGCAGCAAAGACTGTTGGGTTCGAAGAAAGGAGGTAGGAAATTGAACAAGAAAGGCCAAACTGACGAATGACAAATGTCAATCGAAAGTTCGAGTGAATAAAGGGAAACAAGGAATTAGAGGGTATCACATCAGTCTGAAACATCAGTCACTCTATTTTTATTCTCATTTTGTACGCAGTGCATTCGGGAATGGGGACGCGCGATTCACGCGTGACCCCATTAGAGTCTTCGCGCACGCAGCATCGTTTCAGTACCTTTCAGTTGAGAGGGACCGTATAAATTTGCAGTAGTCCACGGCTTCACCATGAATTAGATCAAATTTCTTCACTGTGGAAAAGAAGCCCCTTCGAGGTTAAGAATTCACTTCATAGGTCAACAATTTACTTGTCAAGCGTTCAAAATAAGCATAACTTGAAATTTTTTGATCCTAGAAAACGCAATCCTTCTGTAAACGTGCATAGTTGGTCATTTTTTTACTTATTCTACTGATAAGTTCTTATTTCTTCCATTATGATGGTAGGCATGATGTTTAAGCGCGTTTTGTCCGATGACCTCATTATATTGACGCGGAATCGCACCACACCCCAAGTGCGCTAGTGAACAACCAGGTCAACCTCAGCACACGGTGACTCTTGCTGTTACGTAGAGGACTGATATGAGCGTGTGTCTGTCCGAAATTCAGTACTAACTCAAAAGTACCTCAAAGGTCAAGGTTTGGGATGGGTGGGGCACAGGACAATATCAAGAGAGCCCATGTGAGCTTAACCGAGCTCCGCTAGCCGGAAAAGAGACGTGCACCGGAAAGGAGATTGGGTTAGACTGTTTCGGTCTAGATTCCTGGAAATAATGAGTGAAGGTGATTGGTGGGTCAACGAATGGTAGATACAACGCGGGACCCGTCTACCTCGAGGACGGGCTACTTACTTGTGATTTGTTTAGCCGTCCAACAGGTATTTCTCATTGCAGGTACGGAACAAAACGCGATTTGATAAAACGTTTATAGCAGCAACAAACAATAACAAAAAGAAAAAGAGATATGTGATACGTAATCGGGAAGAAATACTGAGAAGGTTGGCGACGTGGCGAGGCGGCTTCTCGGTAGGAGGGCGAGCGTCGTCAACGGCCAGAAGGTGTCTTCGGTGCGAATCCGAAAAAGCTGTCCTAACGATATGTCTCATCTAGTTATACCTTGAAGACCCTGAATGGGTTGATTACTTTCCCTCGAGTCCCTTCTCAAAAGTAGTATGCGAGTAGTTCTTCCGCTCTCACGATCGCTCTTGATCACCCCGTCTTAAGGTGACCCTTCATGTGCGAGTGACCAGGCTTCGGATTTCTTGAGCGGCAAGAATTCGGTATGTGGTTGAATCTTTTCCGTATAGCGTATGAAATACTTTTGTGTTGATTTCATCGCGTTTTACACTTTTTGGTGGCTATGATGACAACTTTCTCACTCAACCATGCAATATCGCTCCAATTTTTTTGCATATTTATGTATACTATATTCAAAGTGGAGTGGAGCGAATGCGGTGTGGAGGCAGGTGGCGCACGATCGCACACGGGTGGTCCAGTGATGGAACTCCGTATCGTTACTGATGGAACGTACAGGCCAACCAAGCCCTCATTCCTCATGGGTCGTTTATTTGTGCCAGACTCTTATGAGTGGTTGAAAGCACTGAAGTGTACATTGCTTTGTCGTCGCAAATCATTGTATAAGCCCTTTCGATCCTTTCCATTTGCGATGAAATTTCGGAGCGATATGCACAGCCTTTGAAATCGTTGACCCAAGAAATTCGAAGGAAGCAGCCACTATCTTTCACTATTATGCCTTGAGTTTTCGTGGATGGCCCCTATATCAGGAATCCTTCAAGTATCTAGAATGGTCTAGAATGTATACGATCGTGCATGGCTGCTTCGAACCCGTCAAGACCAACCCTCTTGGTAGTGGATTCGTGGACATCGTTCAAATATCATGAAGCTATATAGTCCACTTTACCTCCAAAGAAGCGCGTAAAAGTGATGAGCATTCCTGCTTCTACTAGGCTAATCCAGCCAAACATTTTCATTTCTTGCTGCCATCTCAAAATAAGCCTGGTGAGTGTTTAGTTAGCCGGCGACGTGTCATGGATTAGGGAGAAAGTATCTCAATCCAGCAGCACAAAACTAAAAATAGGTAGTTGGTAGTAGTAAGTCAAACCAAAAGTGTATAAGCATAGGTTGAGATCGTGAGCTATTATATATCAGGTAAAGTTTGCTGCAGTTTTCCATTCTCATGGCGCTTACCTGATAGGTCCACTTTCTGAGTCTTTCACTGTTCATGAATGGTTCCAGGTAGTAAAAATAGATCACCTGGCACAGCTTCTATTCGATTCAAAAAAAGCAAACGACCTCAGAGGTGAGGCTTTCCAGGTATCGCTCTACGCCAATCCAATCAGAACATCGAAATCGTTCCTCAAGAGGCTTGTATTCAGCACAAAGGTGGGTTGTTTTTTAGGTGCAGGCCATTTTTTTGCTGTTCCTTTCCCACCTATTTGTTATATGTCCTCTCATTTTCTGATCTTTCCCTCTTTTAACTATTTTCTGAAATTGGGTCACCGCCATTTATTAATTTCTGCTTGTGTGCTGTGTAACAAAATTTGTTCCGATTGAATAAATAAGCAAATAGTAAGGAAATTAATCCTGTGTGTTGTTCAATTTTGTTTACCATGATTGGTGGGAAGTACGCCGATCAGAAAGCTACCGCGTGCCATTCGAGCTGGGGAAGTTGGCTACTAAGCGCCGACCACGGATAGAAACTCGCTAGGTAGTACAGGCCTCTAAATTTACAAAGATCGAGTTGTTGGCTTAAACTGATTATTAGGGCCTCGGTAGTATATTGCGCAACTAAATCAAAAGATGGTCAGAGGCGAATCTCATTCGATTACTTCGCCGATTCTAAATTGCGAGCGTACGTATGGCACACCCCAGGGCAATTGAGTAATGCTCTTGAAGCTCTCCGTATTGCAGGCCCTGAAACAATGTTACAAGAACGACAGGCCCGAGAAATGGCGACGAGTGTAAACGCCTCTACGGAGTCCAGGAGGGCCACTGTGCTGCGACGTCCATCGGCTCACGAACAGAAACGGCTATCAGTTTTCTGAAGAATTCCTTCTCAACCAGAAGGACGCTACATCAGCTCCGTCGTCGCTTTCAATGTTTTCTTGTTCTTTCTATTTTTGATTTTAATTAAAGTCTGTCCATGAGGTTGGAATGTAGTTGTTACATCAACAAACGTGATTAGTACGTAGCATCGAGACGAAAAACTTACTTTACTGGTTCATCACATAGGAAACGAGCACATAATTAACATAGTCAGGTATAAAATACAACAATGTACAAACCTAAATCCAAAAACTGCTTTCAAATCTACAATAGGTGAGATACCGTTTAAAAAGACTCGAAACCGCATGAACCGGAGAAGTGGCTTATAGATAAACATAGATAAAGGCTCCGTGTATCTCCGAATTTGAATAGCAGCATTTGAGAAACCAATGATTAGCTATAAGTGATCGCGCCATTTTTTCGAATACTCTATAAGAATGATCCCATCAGAGGGACAGCGCACGGAAGAACGTGGAAGACCGTTGTTATCAGAGAAGTTGCATTCGATTTGTTGCAGCCCACTCGGTGGATTCTAATGTGTGGTCTTCGGCGACTATTTAACGAGAAAATGCCTGATTTGAAGGCATTGGGTGCAAAATTTAGTTTAGTAACTTTTCACAACGTGCTGTGCTGGGATTTCCTTTTAAAATAATCCCAGTAAACGCTGTTTGGCACGTTGGTAAAAGACCTAGTTGAACATTCGTCACTACGGCAGTTCAATACTGATGCGCTAATGCCCTTTTCATTCCCCTGAAATCACAAAATCCTGGGAGACTTGGAGAAAAAACAGAGCTCATGTGCTATATGTGGGAATAACGCACAAATATATTATATACAAGTTAGAACCAACTGAAACCCAAACTCTACCCACTGATTTCTTCTGCGAAATATTCGTTTTCATTTACCCGCTTTCTTCAAGATGCTTTTTAAAAAATCGGGTGAATAGCAGAACGGATAAGCGATGACAACAGTAGGTTCGGGCAGCGCTCGGCGTGAGTTGAGAAGCTTAGGAGTACCTTATATGGTCGCCCTCGGCCCTTTAAGCTGCTTACTTGCTCCAAAGAAGATCAAGCACTGAAAAGGAGCAAAGAGCAGCTTAGCACGTAGTGCTCCTATTCTTTATATTTGCTGATCTTCAGAAAAGAGAAATATAGATAACACCCGCAAAAAGTGATTGTTGTTCCCAACGGAGCTTCTTTCAAAAAATAACGATAGGTCCCATATCTGACGATGAGGGCACTTCGCAGCGACGTTCCCCGGCTGTTATGCCGCAGTTCTGTACAGCAGCAGCTCTTAATCGATTTGAGCGTGCTTTGTTTGTTTGGCTTGCGGAAGCATCAACGACAAAAAATAAGGGTTGAGGGAGGAGCACTCAGGTTTCTGCTAAAGCCACGAAGACATGAATAAGGGCGAAGAAATCTTGACAGCTTTTCACAACCGTTATAGCCCATATCTGCAGTGGGATCTGCATAGCAAAACAGAACACCAGCAGGCAGTTGGCAGCTGTCCAAGTGAATGGACCTTTTGAAGACAGCGTCCAAATTGAGAACGTCAAAAAGAGTACGTTCACAGCAAGAGACACGTAGCAGAAAAGGTAGTGCGCACGGACCAGCACCTGAAATTAAGAGCTGAGCCGCACCTTCACAAGAAACAGGAAGAAAACGAGCATCGCCTTGGCAATTTCCGAGATGCAAGGGGAATAAAAGGGAGACATCTTCTGGGTCGTCAGTATACTGTAAATTCTCGTTTCTATTTCATCAACAAGTCTGGGTAAGTGGTCAAAATTGTGCCCAAAAGTGTGAATCCCGATGGGCCTTGATAATCTGAAGATGTTGCCCGATAGATCTACAATGTAGGGACTTAATAGTATTGCAGACAATAGCATTTTCTGTGGATGTCAAATGAATCAAGAAGTTCTTTTCGTCAGAAGTTTACCGAGTCGAGAAGACTGCGTGGCTTAAATTATAGCAACACAGCTTTTACGTTTCGGTCCAGCTACGTATTTTTAAGTGGGAAAGAAAACAGTTACCTTGCTGAAGGTTAGCAGTCCGCGAGTCAAGGCAATTAGGAAACAGAGTAGAGCCTGAAAATAGTTTTGCTGTCTCAATCAGTAAAATGGTGCAATTTGTGGAATTTGTGGATGTGTTCAGGCACGATTTGGGATGAACTCTCAAAGATCTGAAGCACTTCCGTTCACAGACTAGAAGTGACTTTCTTCTTTCGCTTAAAAAACTCTACAAAGGCCCTATTCTATAAAAAAAACCAATTTCAAGCCAGTTCCCTTAACGCACTCTTTACCTGCTTTCAACCCCTAACTCACTACCTATGTATCGCTCCTTCCTCCGAATTACTTGTAACGCTGAATCAAAAGTACCCCTCAGATACTCCTTATAGTTCTACGACACTTCACATTCACGACCCTGCCCACCATAAATGATGTACAAGAATGAAAAGCCTGTGCTAGTGTTACAGACCGAGTAAAGTATCAATAGTAAAGCCTCATGACCAAAAAGAAATCTTGTTCTCCCTTAGAAATCCTGACGATTGTTGTCTTCTACTGTATTCGGCAGGTCCCATCTACTTCTACCGATGGAAGCCGTCTGCAGTTTCCCAGCAGCACAACTAAAGGACTTTCAGTGTCACATGTAGGACGTCCCAATCACCGGTTACATACGCGATGCGCTGAAAAAAGAACCTGAGCCGGTTTGGTGGATGGGAGAAAATCTGGCAATTACGGATTGCTTACCACTATTCCGACATTCCCTAACAGCAAATAATTTTTCCCACTGTTCCCAATCTTCAATTTCCTTGCCTTCACTATAGCCTTTGCAAATTTGAACGCTCTAGGTTAAGAGAAAAGAGGGCTGCTCCTTCTGGGCACAGCGACAAACAAGAAATTACTAATGGTTCATAAGCTATTCAACGTACCGCGTCGTAGACACATACACTGTAATAGAAAAGGTGATGACCGAACCATGCATTCCATGATTTCGGAAGTGGCTCCCATAATGTGAAACCACCCCGAGACATTCCACCGAGTACCACAAGAAGTGTGGCCAACACGTAGAAAGCCTGAATCAAAACAACTCGAAACTGATTCTTTCTACAACTGGTAAAGATGGAAAATTCTCTCGGGGTACGAAAGATACAGAACTATTACATCGTACGTTTTGAAGATCACCAGTTCACGGTTTAAAGTCTGAACAGACAGCTTCGATGAATATTTGCTGAGTATTAGATTTCCGTATTTATACGGCTTCCCTACTGCTGAAGCAGAGGAAAACGAACAAAAAAACTAATTATAGACCAAGACTACGGAAGAAAGGTTTGTCTATGTAGAAAATCGAGTAATTAGGCAAAATAACACACTGATCTCAGGTTTGTCCTCTGCACCAGAGCGCTCTATGTTCTAAACACTTCAGTTCCCATCACAAATAAGAAAGTTGCTTGATCAATGACTGCAAGCTTCTGCTCCACGAAAATTTCTCACAACATCTATTTATTCGAAATACTGTGATTCCGTTCAACAAGGATTTCAACTGAAATTACAAAAATGAACATTTGAATATCAAGATGTGCAGCGCTTGCCTTCCGATATCAGCTAGTGGGGTTCGGAGGTATAAACTGCTCCTCGAAGTTGTGTTGTTCATTCATTGGTGTCTGCTTTGGACTTGTGTAAAGAAATTTACCACGCATCTTTTCCGCTCTTATTTTTTTCTTCTGCGATTGGCAAACTAGGGAAAAATAACAGCTAGTCAAAAATCGCTCAAGTTTGGATTGTGCTGGATTTGAAATAAACGGCGTTCAATAATGATACACCCACCTATAAATTTCACCAAAGCTCACGCTTCAGAAAAGTTTAGGGAAAGCCTCGATATGGAAAGAGTGCCCTATCGGGACAGTAACTTCCAGACTAACAGCAATTTTTATGAACAAGAACATGGACAATTCTTAGTTCTTTTTTTCAGAAATGGTCACTTTGCCTACGTACAATCTCATATTTCCCCGTCGCATTCCATGTTCACCCTACAAAAAAATTTCATTTGTGTAATGTTTTCCAATTCCAGGTAAAGGGTGAAGAAAGTTGCTATCTGATTCCGAGGAAGGTGAAATTCTCGCAAAAGGAAGGGGAACAGGGGCTGTCAAATCACAGAGTCGCTCGAGTTGAACAATTCGTTAGGAATCCTGCAGAGTAAGGGGCCCAAAGAAGAATAGGACGTCTTTCCTTACCTTCGAGAAGAGACAAGCGACGGATTCCGAGAGAAGCATCGAATACGACCAACATGTACGGAAGGCAAGACTTCTTCGAAGCTCAATGTCTCGAGAATTAATGTTTGGGACGTGATATACAAGTCTGAGTTTATCTGTGAGCGGACAATGAGGAAGGCACCCTTTCTGACCGAAAAGTATCGCGACAACCGAGTCCCTTTTGCCAGTGGTGGTATCCGAACCAACTGGAATGAGGTGCCTTTCACTTCTCTTCGTTTGCTCTCCCTTCTCTTGATGTATCGTTTTCCAGGTTGTTTTCCTTTCAATGACGAAACGTGATGGCCCAGATGAAAAACGGCTCTAATTGCACGATATGAGAAAGGATAAGCTCCAGTTTTCCAGACCAAATTTTTAAGGAAGGAGGAGTCATGGTATGGGCAGCAACTTCTTTTCGTAGACGTCATCATTTACGTTTTTTCATGAAGGTGCTCGACCCTTTTAGTGATCGTGTCGTAATGTGCCAAGCTCTCTTCCTTTCTAGAATCAGAATCGGCAGCTAATATCGAATTCGTGCAGTATAATGCCCCGATCAAGCTGATCCTGACTTGAATCCAATGGAAATTGTATGGGGATTCATGGCAAGGAATATTTGGGGAGGAAACAAGCAGTTGCAGGCATCGATGAGCTGAAGAGAATCGTCTTGACCCAAGTTGATAAGGACCAGAGACTCACTGATAGCCTTTACTTTAGCTGGACAATCGTATTTTCGAGGTAATGAGAAGGAATAGGGGCGCAATAGATTATTAATCACGCAACCTCCTATCTTTGTTATAGTGGAGGTGCGAAATAAATTCATTTGGTTAGTGGCTGTATAATTTTGAAACATAGGCAAGGTGACCTTTCGGGAGGAATGGAAGAAAGATTTTCTGCGTTCTTTTGACGCTTCGGCTTCTCATCGACGGTGGCACGCAGATTTCCTTGAGAAGGTCTAGCCAGGACTTTCTTTGAGGATTCCTCAGGAGCAGCAACAGCTTTGCGTTTGGGAGCGCAGGCTTTCCTCCCCAGTATAGACTATATCCAGCGACTCATAACATTGTGATCCGGGAAATCGTAGGAGGACTGAAAGCTAGGATGAAATTGCGAACATTTCCTCAGCACCAGTCTTGATCTTTCCCCTTCCATGAGCGAGTGCGCCGTAGTTTCAAAACGTAATCCCAAAAAAAATCTTTATCCATTGGCTGCATCCTTTCAGAAAACCCTTCTGAAAGAGTTTTGGATTGAATCTCATGCTTTTCTTGTCTAAAACTTACGATATTGCTCTGATGGTATAGAGTTCAAATCATCATGTCAGAGGGAAGACGGCTACGATAGGCGATCTGACTCTTCTGAGCGGCTTCAGCACTCGTAGTGTGAAAAATACGTATACTCTGAGATCACAACATTTCTTCCAACTTAGTCAGAAACGTGTGGCGAAGCGCCTGCCGCACGCCAGAAGAGCACGGCATTTGGCATTTTTTCTCTCCAACTTTTTTACGTCAAGAAGCTTGAAAAGCTTCCGAATCCTATAGGGATACAGTGTAATTACTCGGGGTAGACTCTTCACGTCGGAATAGAACATACAAACAAATCAGCAGTCACTTTCTCTAGTGTTTCTGAATGTTCCGCAGCGTACTCCTTCCCAAGCTATTGTATTCTGAAAAGTGGTAGTATGTGAGACAAGACGACCGTTTTGAGGTCTGTCGTTGACCTGTCTACGCATCGCGATTCATGTGGGAAATGTTGAAAGGAGGAGCGATCCCGGAAAAGGATTCACCAAATGCGCGCAAAGACGTAACGGTTGGTGGATGTCTCCTGGTGGGCTCCACTGTTTTTCGAAATCTGAAGAATTGAGAGCACCAAAGTAGATACATATGTGGCCTAAGGTATGTCATAAACATAAAGAGAGGCACAGATTAGGGGAAAGCGAACAAGGAAGTCACGGAGGTTCGAAAATTTGTTACCATATTTATGGCGCACCCTGTAATTTAATGCCGGTTCAGTTTCATAAACAGTGTTCCAGTGTTGCCCTCTGGCATCTATGTATGGTTTGTTACGAAATATGATCTGAAAATGGGGCAATGAATGAGCGTGATCAACGAGCCATGCACTGCTTCAAAAGAGGTGGCTCTATCATTCCTTCATTGCGGTCCCATTTTTCACTTTTAGGGATCTCCTTACTCCTCCTACTCCTACTTGCTGAATCTGCTCAATATCAGTAAAGTTCTCGAATAGCAAGGCAGCAGAGGAAATGCAGATGGGAAAGGAATTGGTCCATACCCTTAAGAACTCCAACAAAACATCAACCGAACACCAGGACGACCGCCAGCGCGGCGGTCAGATTTCTTTACAAAAGCTCTAAACGAAAGGAGAGCTGTGCCCTGTGTTCTCCGAGCGAGTACAATTTATTGGACTACTCTGGCTCGCAGCAGGAACGAATTTAGACATTACTGGTGCCCGCTCGAGGAAATCGATGATCAACGGAAAGACAGGCGATACAGGTGCATCACACCCACAATTCAAAAAGGACAGTAATTCACTGTCTGTTCAGCTGCTCTCGTTTACCAAGGTTCAGATTAGCGGCAATCAGCATCAACTTTTCCTACGATTTCAATAGGATCAGTCTTATATTCGAATCCGATCATTTTGTCAGTTTGCCCAGTCAGTGTTCAGTGTTGCATTCAATTAGCTAATAAATACGCATCAAGCAGAATGTTGTCACTTTGTAACAACCCTTGCACTTGCAGTTCTCATTATCTGAAGTATGATTTCTCAAATAAAGCAGTTCATTCTTCATAGAAATGCTCTATCATGGTCGGTGACGCCGCTCATTTTTTCGCTAAATCATGAGCATTGTACGTGTCCAACTACCCGCATCCTAACCATACCAGTGTGGCCGAGGCCAGAGTGCTCCCACAGCGGCGCTGCAGCTGAGACAAGTGCTGGCTGCTGTCGATGAGCTTGCAATGTAAAATCAGTTGTGGCTGGATAATCGCGATCCTCCGTAGCTCTCGGTATTCCAACCAGAAAACAAACACGAGCCATCCACTAGCGGGCGAGCATTCCACCACGAGCCAGCGATGCGAGAGAAACGGGATCACCTGTCGTTGGCTAAGCACAACTACTTAACATGGGGGTATGAGTGAAGTCGTGCGTCCGAGGACGCGCGCGGCAAATTGCGCGGCAAAATTCATTGTGATAGGACCGAGTTTAGCGCCTATCATTGTGGCCCAATTTTGAAGTGAAGAATATTATCGGGATCAGTTAATTTTACTGATCTACTTTACTTCAAATTTGGCCACAATGATAAACACCGCAGTCGTCTAATTACGCCACAACTTCGCCGCGCAATTTGCCGCGCGCGTCCTCGGACGCACGACTTGACCGTCCACCAACATGGGGTCATGGAAAGCTAAGAATCTCTATATTCACAATATTTCAGCAACCATGGTCCCTTATTTAATGTTAAATGTTTGCTATGTTTTTTACTTGATGAACCTCAAACAATGCGCCTCTATAAGTAGGTTTCAGCTCTGTTACTGCCCACGCTCTACATGAGACAGCTCTGGTGAGAGCCAGTACTTTCTAGCAAGATATCTTCCTTTCTTGAAAGGGTCGAACAGTCTCATAACCTTACAAGGTGAGCAAGTTATGGACAAAACTTTGATTAGGGATTTTTCTCGAGGTCTCACTTCCATTTTTGGGCAACGCACACTTTATCCCTACACCACCGAGACCCCACTTGCCCTCGCCTTCTCAATGGCTCATCTACAATAGCTTATCAGCACTCACACGTACAACGTAGTGGGTCGGTCAGCCACTATCAGCATGGAATGGTTAAGCTGTAAGCTTTTCCTGTTGTAACTCATTTTGAGCCGATGTTCTGTTAATTGCTCTTATTCCTAAAGCTATGACATAAAAGCCATTAGGTAGGCGGGACAAGCAGGGTCACTTCAGTGTATGGGATAAAGAGCACGGTGCTCGGATAACAAGAGTACGGGTTCAAGTCCTCTACCTAAGGCCTAAGTTTTGTCCATGACTCGCCAATCTTGCGAGATTTTCGGATCGCAAACTGGGCGAAATAAAAGCAGTCATTAAAAGTCCCATCACCATTCTAACAGAACAATCATTTTTCCAATGTAGTTTCCGTCAAATGCCGTTAACTTACACACCTCAAAGGCTACAACAGCAGCACAGCCTCCTCGAACGAGGCATGACGAAAGACAGCAGAGGGGCTCCAGCTCCAAATGTCGTGCTTGCACTCTGCAAACATATCACTTATTTGAACATATTAACATAACACAACACATACGAACATAACATATCACTTGTGTCCACTCCACATTTACTTTACTGAATAAATTTTTTGCTTACTTGGATTCAATAGGAGCTACTTTATTTGCTCTCATCTTCGCCTGCATCGCTTTTCCTTTCGCCATTACTCCGCCAATTCTTCCCGACACCGTCGTCAGGACATTTGTTAACGCTGATAGTGCACCAGATGGAGGAGGTGACGTAGCTGAAATAGGAGATCTCATGGACAGATTCATAATAAAATGGATCATATCATCTATGATCGAAAACGGCGAAGTTGGTCAGGCTCATCATTGTCTGACCGACATCGCTGTTGTTCCAAAGATCTACAGGAGATCACCCCATCGTCCCCTCCGCGCTAGATTCTAGATTCGTTTTTCGGTGTGTTGGGAGAGGGTTGCAAAGTTCAGAAAACGAAGCTCCAAGACTGTTGCCAGCTGGGATCACATCCACGCTAAATGGAAAGAACGTCTCTGAACTACGCTTCAACTACGCGTATTTGAGTCAAGAAGTCAACATGATGAATGACCTGGCTCCGGAGCTGAGCAGGACGCGCGGCGTAGGGAGCATTTGCTGATATGTTGACGACACCTTTCCCAAATAGAAGCTTGATCGGGGTAGATGTTAACCTTTTCACTTCCTTGTGCAAAGTGCCGAGTCAGCGCTGCCTCGAGTGTCCTCTAAGCCGCTTTCCGAACAATTCAAGGTCGAGATCGAACTTACGGGAGCTGTCATTGTACTGTCACTGCCACGACGTCATTGTAACCATCTGTGTGTAAAGAGCAACGCCGAGATTGAAAACCTCCATGTTGGAATGTTGTCATCTCCCATACCAAATATCTTTAATATACAGAGCCAGGCCTGAGCCTCTGAAATTGTGAAGCCAATACTCAAGGAGACACATATGAGCTCGAAGTTTTAAACACACGATTGAGCTCGGAATTTCGAAATCGAATCTGTTCATGTTACTGCGGCTGTTGGGCGCAGCACCTTGCTCTCCATCACACTGGAACAGACTTCAAATTCTTTGGTCGCAGGCCAGCACTCAACGCCGTGATTCGCCACCGGGGGATGAGATGTAGTTCCAATATTTGAGACCTTCAGGCATATTCTTATCAGAGATGAGCCAGGCATCAAGAGCCATTTCGACCATGCTGCATTTACGCAAGTGTTCGCTTCAGAAACCAGGCTGCTGTTGGACGCAATCGCCGACCCGAGGTACTTGAATGTTCTTGTTCATGTACGCCCAGCACCAGTAACCTTGATGCCTGGCTCGTTCGGATCGGTGGCCAAAAATTCAGTCTTTTCAACGTTTAGCCTGAGGCTGAACATAGCCAGACAGTCGGAGTTGGTTTGCATCTGTTGCTCGAGTGTGCTTTTGTCCTCGCTAGAGAGCATAAATCAACAGCATAAGGAAGTGTCCATGGAGCCGGCCTCTGGAGATATTTGTAATGGCATCCATGATGACAACATATGTTAGTGGGGATAACACAAAGCCTTGACGTACTCCAACGAAGTTGGGAATATCCGTTCCTGTGCTCGCTTTCTTTGGGGGTGCCTTGCTGTCGTTAAGCATACCACATAATGTTACGCGAAGCGCGGTCGGAAGTCTTCATAGGTTTAGAAAGGCAAGACGTTACGGATACAACAATCTGTAATTCGCACGAAGACTTTCATGCTATGCGAGAGCGGGTGAATTGGAGGGTAGCGAGTGATGTCCCAAGAATTGCCCTTCTTCTTCCAAATAGGAATCGTGCTCTGTTGCAAATTCTAAGGCACTTCTTTCCTGCAACGATCTTGTTGATGAACTTCGTCAATCATTATGCAGGACTAAAGCACTCCGCCGTCCGCCGCTACCGCCGCCAGATCATCAGGACCAGCTGCTTTGCCTGTTTCATCCCTTTCATGGCCGTAATCGTCTTCTTTACGGTTATCTTCTGAAGGAGGCCGTCTACTGGCAGAACGCAAGGGATGGCGGGCGGGAATGGGGCGAGCGAGCAAATTTGACTGCTGAGTCGCTTTCGAAGTATTCTCGCCATCGCTTCCATGCTTTCTTGTGGTCCGTTAAGAGGTGACCGTCCTCGTCATTTATGCCAGGAATTTCTCAGTATCTTCGGACAGGCGGCAGCAGGTTTTTGCGAGTCGGTAAACGTACCGCTCCCGTCGCGAGCCTCTAGTTTCTCATAGAGATCAGCAAAATGAGCTGCCTCAGCAGAAGCAAAGGCCTTCTTTGCCTCCTTTTTCGCTATCTCTTAGCGCTGCCAGTTAACAGTTGTCTTTTCCGAAAGCAATGCGTGGTATTATTCTTCCTTCTCACGCACCCTACCGCTGGCATAGTCCGCCCAAAGCCATGTTTGCCTGCCAACCTTTCGCCGTCCGTGCTTCGTCATCTCCGTCCGCGCAACCCGTATTATCGCTTTGATATCATTCGTTTAAGTGTGCCGACAGCCGTCACCGCTGGTAACACATAGAATGCGGGAGACAAGTGCCATTTTCCTTCAGTTGTTTGGTCGCGATGCCTGACATGGACGAAATCAACTTGTGTTCTGGTTCCAAATACAGAAAGTGATGAAATGAAAGTGGTTTTTGAAATTCCCTTCCCACCATGGCGAAGTTATGCGAGTTCGCTCGCATCAGTATTAGGTGACCCATATCCAAAACTTCCACGACAACTGTAACTCTCTTTCGCAGCGTCGCGTAAATTTGACGCCAGCAGTGACATCTATGGCTTCTTGTGACGGTAGCTCAGCCATCTTTTCATCGAGCAGTTCCAGAAGTTGTCCTTGGTCTGCTCGGAACATCCAGTCTGTGGAGACAAGCTGAGAAGAAGTGATAATTTTGGCTTTCGATCACACAATGATCTTCATTAGGCGGTCAGCGAAAACCCATTCTTACTATCGAATCATGGAAGTGTGCAGAGACAATCATTTCAACGCTGTTGGTGGTTCTTGGACCACTACAGAGAAGGGCTTTGAAGCCATGGCCACTGTTCTTAGGCTTGCAGTGGGGCCATCCGCAGAAATCAATTCGCCGATGTTCTACAGCTTCTGCTAAATCGTACGAGCGTCCCGTTGACGTGACAACATTTGACTTCGCGACCCGGGCCTTCCATACGTTGTGGGACTCTTGTACTGGCCTAGTTCCCCCCAATGCCGTCCTTGCTCCGGAGACCGTCGCATATTTTTCACACTCGCTGGGCTTTGCGAGCGCATGTCGGCTCCCGTGATATTCCTTTGAGATTCATATAGTGATCTTATTATTCAAATGTGAAGTGGATTTTCATAGGCCAACCTGTCACGGAGGCCTATCGCATGCATTCGAGTGTCCTCGATCAGCTCAGCCTACAAAGTGGGCAGTTTTTACAAGGGAAGGATCCCAAGTCGAAGTGGCCATTTGAGATGAGACCTACATTGCTAGACGTATTTTTTGATGCTGATTTCGAATCTGCATTCAAAAACTGCCAATGGATTCTCTGAACGAAGTTACGGAGGTGGTCTCCGGAGAGCGCTCAACGGGAGAAAGCACAAAAGCCATGGTCGCTGATAGCACAGCAGTGGCGGCTTGGAGTAGAGGTAAGTGTGACACTTCATAGGCATGGGACCAAGGATCGAATTGATGGGCGTCTGCGTTTTTGCGTTTCGCAGGACTTTTTCTTACAGCTTATTAAAATGTTTTTATGTTAGTTTTACTGCCTTCAGCGACATTTTAGTTTCTGGGGGTGAGTCAGTTCTTACCTAAACCGTCTGACATCTGCTCTAACCACCAACATGACAAAAATTCTGCTCTGATACATTTCAAATTCACTGTAGGATAACTTTCACCTATTATAGCAAATGTGATATTCTAGCACGAATTGAAGTTTATAATGAAGTTTTTCACAATAAGCGCAACGAATGAAAGAAAATTTCGCCGCGGGCTCTTGGAAACTCGTCAAAGGGTTCCTATTGAAGTCGGCTGGCCCATTTCGCAGTGGAAGACCGTTTTGTCAGGAACTGATTCACCTCGAGCATTCAAAAAGTCGCCGAAAGCGGTAAAACTAACATAAAACCATTTTTACGACGTGGAGGGAAAAGAGCTGCAAGATGCAAAAGTGCAGCCTCCCATCAAACCCGATCCTTGGTCCCACACCTATGAAGTGTTACGCTTACCTCTACTCCAAGCCGCCACTGCTGGGCTACCGGAGACCATGGCTTTTGTGCTTTATCCTGCTGAGCGCTCTCCGCAGACCACCTCCGTAACTTCGTTCAGAGAATCGTTTGGCAGATTTTGAATGCAGATTCGAAATCAGCATCAAAAAATACGTCTAGCAGTGTAGGTCTCATCTCAAATGGCCACTTCGACTTGGGATCCTTCCCTTGTTAGTGGCGCCCCTTGGAGAAACGGACATCACCACCCCCACGAAAGAACGAACACCCATTATAGCACGTAAATTGACCTACTCTAAGAGCAAGGAAGGAGTTGAATTCCACGGCTGATGGAATCCTTCATGGAACAGCTTAATTTTGATCGATTATTGGTCGTGAAGAATGCCTATATCGCCTGTTGATTTTGATGTGATGTTGATATGAATGAGGACAGCTTCTTTATAGATAAACAAAAGGTAACAAGGGATTGAAATTCGGTTTGTGATAATGAAGCAATAAAAACCTCTCACCGTAAACAACTTCACACAACACATGCTTTGGTAACTTACGCAGTGTTATTCGGGGCATCATAGAAGCTGATTAATTAAGTAGCGCTGGCGAAAAGGCAAAGCTTAGCCTCAGTGGTTGACGTGTTCAATTGAACGTGCGGTTTGCATCCACGATGAACATGCATCGAAGCGTGAAAAGTCTATACTTCTGGGGGCGTACTGCGACTTTTCACGATTGAATACAACGCGAGCAGCTAGCCGGGGAATGGCGTAGTAGAGTGTTTCCGCTTCACAACGCCTTACTCTCCTGTTCTTGTTTTCTCCTACGATGCGTCCCTCTGCTTTTAAACCAAGACCTTCTGAATTGCTTCCAGCGAAACTGCTTGCGATTTCTTAAACTATTGTTTTTTTAGTTCGCTGAACAACGGATTTGACTCGCCAGAAAAAATGGAAAACACGTCCACATCTACTTATCTACTATGCGCTGCATAACTGGGAGTCCTATTTGATATCGCCAAGTTTTTTGGTGAAAGTTGTCGCCAAGAACTCCTGGTGAAGAGCAAAACTGATTTCAACACAAATTATGATAAACAACGGGATAAG